ACTCAGTTCAATTACACACATTCAATTACTCATTACGTTATCCCGTCACGTTGTGACCATTTTATATATCAAATAATACCGAGATCTAGTAGTCTCCCGACATTTCATGAAGGTTCGAGAAGGAAGTGGCGTGATACAAGCGTCACGTGACCTGCGTTGTCGTAACACTATTATATCCTTAGTCACAACGTTGATTGCCCTATTATACTGTTGTAGCCATAGTAACAACTCTGATGGCGTTACTGAACTGTTATATCCTTAGTCACAACGTTGATTGCCCTATTAAATTATTGTATCCATAGTGACAACACTGGTGGCGTTACTAAACTATTATATCGTTAGTCACAACGTTGATTGCCCTATTAAACTGTTGTATCCATAGTGCCAACTTTGATGGCCTTACTAAACTATTATATCTTTAGTCACAACGTTGATTGCCCTATTAAACTGTTGTATCCATAGTGACAACTCTTATGGCGTTACTAAACTAGTATATCCTTAGTCACAACTTTTATGGCCCTACTAAACTGTTGTGTCTTTAAGAACAACTCTGATGGCCTTACTAAACTGTTATATCCATAGTGGCAACCCTACTGGCCCTACTAAATTGTTATATCCATAGTCATAACCCTAATGACCTTACTAAATTATGATATCCTTAGTCACAACGTTGATTGTCCATAGTGACAACTCTGATGGTGTTACTAAACTATTATATCCTTAGTCACAACCCTGATGGCCTTACTAAATTGTTGTATCTTTAGTCACAATGTTGATGGCCCTATTAAACTGTTAGGTAATTGCGGCATGCAAACCTTCCTTGCTTAAGTTCGAATTCAGATAATATGTGTTTGAAAAAACCAGTTTTTTTAAAAGAGTCGGTTGTTCGCCTACTAAGCATTTTTCTTTACCTCCTTTACACCAGTTTGTCAACAATATATTTATTTCTGTCTTTATCTGTAATTTGGTTTATAAAATATTCTTTACTTTTGCTGATTCCGTTCCCTAGTCTTACGTAACCTTTAATCATGTTTTAATAGTATTGTATTTTGTCATTAAATTTAGATTAACGCCTCTACTAAAACTAATAAAAGTTTTGTTTGTTTTCAAATTCTTACCGATTTTGAGGACCTTTGGCAACCCCCAGACCATGGTGAAACAATAAACTACGGTAGCCCACAAGAATAACACACACAGTCGTTGTTTACGTTTCATGGTGATTTAAGGCCTTCCACGTAGTTCGTCCTTATTATGGTTATTCTCAACGCCACTAAGTAGAAGCGAATGTGTATATAGAAATAATGACCTTTTAAATTTGGTCTGACTTCTACTTACAGTTGATAACAACAGCTAAAGACGAGCGTTTGGACTTAACGTATCGATGTTCTTACGGAACCTGGTTTCGACGATTGCCTACTTTCCACAAGCAGTATTTTCCTTTAGCACGCAGCAGTTGTTTCTCGTGAGTTTTGTCACTATCTCCAGGCGCCTCTCTCTCAACTTACGCATGACTCCTGGGTGTTATCTATTGCGCATGACACCTCACGAGGCTCTAACTGACACATGGAGAAAATGCTGTTGATATTCCCTTCCATACCACTGTTTAGGTTATTCCTAAGTATTATGGTTTTTTGTTGTTTTACAATATGGATTGTTAATATGATATTCAAAGAATCATTTATTTTCTGACTGGTAGAGTTTTCACTGGGATAACTAATTATAGTTTATGTTGAGCAGTCTTTAGAATTCAAAGTCTTTCAATCTAGATGTAATAAACTTATATACACATTGAAATAAAAACAGGTTGAATGCTAAAATAAAGTCTTCTGAAATGTTATTCAACTCCTCTCTTTGGCTAAGTGAATGATTGGTTTGGTTTGTTTAGAATTTCGCACACAAAGTTACACGAGGGTTATCTGCGCTAGTCGTTCATAATTTAACAGTGATAGAACAAAAACAATTCAACTAGTTAACATCACCCACCGCCAACTTTTGGGCTACAATTTCACGAACCAAAAATGGAATTGATGGTCACATTATAACTCTCCTTAGGGCAAACGAGATGAGCACGTTCAGTGAAAATAGAAGAACAATTTGTTGATATGGAAGTTGCAATCTCTAACTAGTTTTATTTTAACTTTCAAACTGTCAATTTTGGTGAAGTTAGGGACAAAGCATAGGTCAATATTTATTTAGGTCCAATTAACAACCATTTTAGTATGTTTGAGAAAGCTAGCAGGGGTTTTCCTAGCGTGCAGTCACAAATTGTGCACCTGTAAAAATAATTTGTATAGTTGAAAATTCACCTATATAAGTAGGTTCAAGTGGATTAATATTGAAAACAAACATATTTAATGTTATAAAATTCCATTCCAGAGTTGGTAAATAAATGTATTTACTAGAATATTCTTCATTGTTTAGATCATTTGAGGTGTAATAAGTTGAGAAAAATCCTTACTAAAAGCTCTGAAGGCTACTTATTATTTATTAAACCAGTGATTTAAAAACATTTTGTTCTTCTGAAGTATGTAATTTAGTATAACTAATTTCCCGTTCAAAAGTGATCTATGTATGCAATGAGCCAGAGACGAAGCGCCATCTATTATTAATCTTTAAAATTATAAGAATTAGAAATATTAGAATTATAATACTGTTACGTATCTGCTCGTTTGTTAATTTCCGGTATAAATTATTTCCGATGAACTTCAGCGATATAAGTCCTTTCTTAAATAAAACTAGTTTATTCTTTCTTGATACAACTTTTTAGTACACAGAATTTCCACAGTCATTTTAAACTTAACAACCTTTATAACACACGCTATAAATCACAGTGATCCACACACTTTACTTATGGCACCTACTGTTTGCTTGACTCAATTATTTATCTCTTCAATCTATCTGTATATCTATCTATATCTCTTCAATCAATCTTCCCGCAG